GTGGGGGAAATAAGTATTTGAGCCCTTGCTGATTTTGCAGGTTTGCCCACTTACAAAGAATGCTTATTTTTCCTCATCAGATGGTTATCAATTTTTATAAATTCATATGATGTGATTTTCTGGAATTTTCTTTGGGATTCTGTCTTTCACTGTTAGAATGTACATATGATTAAAGTTATAGATCGTTGCATTCTTTGTAAGTGGGCAAACCTGCTAAATCAGCAAGGGGTCCAATACTTATTTACACCACTGTATATACATGTCTATACATATATATGTATATGTATAGGTTTGGGTCTTGGTCTTGGTTCTCTTTGGCTTTGTCCTGAGACCAGCAGTGGGTGACGTCACAGAAAGGCTTTCCACGGTTTACAGGAATGCACACGGGTGTGCACGCTCACGTGCGCGCCCGCGGTGCATGGCTGGGGGAGGTACCTTAAGCTCCTTTGGGTCTTTAGCTGCTGCTGCTAATAGCTGAGGGCTGGCAGGCTGGAGCTGTGCTCACGGTCTGACGTGGGCATGAGAGTTTTGTCTTAATTCGGTTACCTGAAGCTGAACTCTCTCTGGAACAACCTCAGTAAGAGCTGGTCCATGGGCAGGGTCTGAAACACACAAAGGTTGTAGGTCTGTCCCATTAGGACCCACAGGTCACCATGTAAGGAGCTTAAAACCACTATCGGAAGTTTTGACGGCAGCAGAATAAACCCACAAACAAAGAACCAGTCAGGAACATCATGTGAACCTGTTCAGAGCTCAGTTATAGGGAGCAGTAAAGCTCGTTTTTAAACGGTTTACTATTCCTCTCAGTCTTTTAACGGTGATAAACCATCAGGTTTTGCTTTGAACTGATCACTTGGATCAAATGTGTACCTCAGATATTCAGTATTTAATCATTAATTCAACAGTCTTCCTACTTTTGGACTTGATATGCTAAAGATGTGAGCAGACTCTTGTTGTCCAGATGAACCTGAAAACACTCCCACTCAGTCTGGATCGAATCATCTGTGTGAGATGGAGAGTTTTGGACAAAATGGCCGAATGGTCAGCCACAGAAAGCCTCATAAAGTCCTGAATGAGGCATTCTGCTTTGGTTAGGTACATTTCAAAGGAAAGAAGGAACTCAGTGAGCACTAAAGTGTCCTGAGAGGAGTCCAAAGGCTTTGGTTGAGTTCAGGGGGCGTGGGAAACCTCTCAGGGGTCCAGTCTGGGGATGTGGAGCTCATCTAGAGGGTTCATTTGATAGTTCAGTTGTTCTGTTAGACCAAAAAGAGGCAGGAGACTCTCTTTGTGGAGCGGCCAATGGCTGAGGAGCTTCTGCTCTGACTCACAGGCTGGAGATGACCAGCTCTGTGTCTGAGCAGCTGGTGGAACGGAAACGATCCACCGATACAATCCCCAAGGTCTGTTTTTAGCCGGGTGACATTTTGTCCAGAGCTGCTGCAGACTGAAGGACCGGTGCTGGTTCCTCTTAAGAGCAGGAAAGGTTCACATCTACCTGAGAGGGAAAACGAATGGATGTCCTAGTGTCCTGCTCCTACGAAAAACGGCTTCAAAAAGCAGCCGTTTTTCTGCAGGAACAGCTTTTCCACGTCCACAAATATCTCCTCTTATTGATTTGGACTCAGGTTTCTCCTCACTGTAACTTCACTCCACTGTTTTACTTCTATTCTTTCACTCTTTCTTCAGCCGAGTGACTTTCCTCACGTCTCATTGACCTCTGAACAGGAAATATAGAGCAAATGTTGCACGTTATTGATTGCCTGAATGAATTTTTCCCTCGCCCTGCAGCTTCTAAAGCAGCTCGGATGTTCCTGGTAGTTCTTAAAATCTGCCCTGGGTGCCAAGGTCAGAGCAGCACTAAGCCATTAAGACTCTGCGGGGTGGCCACGCTTTGGTGCACCTGCCTCACTTTCCTCTGTCCATCTCCCCATCCTCGCTCTCTCTCTGGTATTTTGCAGTTTTCCTACATTTAGAGTCATTCTGCTAGTGTTTGCAGCTTTGCATAAGACTCCCAGGTCCTCGGTGTTGCGTAATGCTTAAAGCCAGACTTCCCGTCCCTGACCTTGATAGGCCGGATACTCCTTCACCACGGGGGTTAAGGAAATCCATCACATGACTCCACACTATGATGACCTAAACAGGGAAGAAAAGCGTGCAGAATCTCACAGACTCATGTTCTCGTCATCTGGCTGTTTCAGAACGCTCAGTTCAAGATCAAGTCAGACTGAAAAGACATTTAATGATCCCAGAAGAAAACCTGTCAACCACAATGGTTCAACTTTTCTTTTATGTGACACAAAATTTCAAATGCACCTTTCTGCTTTTGTCCAAAGAAAAGAGGAGAAAGTGAAAGATAATGGTTTGTTAATTATGAAAAGAGGTAATCAGAATTTCCTAAAGGAAGAGAGGTCCCCCTCTTGGTAACCATAAGGCAGAAGATCAGAGCTGAGAGCTTCCACGAGCCCTTTCAGACCAGATGTGGTGGCATCTGCAGCCTGGAGAACCCTTAGTCAGGGGGGCTAACAGCCAGGGGTTACAAGAAGGGCATCTTTAATGTATCAGAGGAGTGGTGGTGTGACCCAGGTGACAGGGACAGGACTTCCATGGAGATCTGGGGCTCTATGGTTGGTTTTGGAGGGACTGAGTTTGGTATTTGTTAATAATAAACTTATTTAATCACATTCAGGTTGCAGTGGTTCTAGAGCCCATGCTAGCTGTGGCCAGAGGTCTACCCCAGTCCATCACAATGTCTTTGGGTAGCATAACATGTCGGTACTCGTATTTGTCATCGTCATATTTGTCAGAGTGGTAGATTTGTTTGTGAGACATGGCGGAAGTCTTAGACAGATGACAAAGTATTTAGATGCTAGTAAAACACACTTTTCCCAGAGACCAACAACACTCACAAACCGGGGTACCTGCAGAAAGCCCCCACATACAGTGGAGGAGCCTGCAAAGTCCAGGCCGGGATTCCTACCAGCAGCACAGAATTTATTTTATTTATTTGTTTATTTGACAGGGACAGTACAATTAAACATTGCAACCAAACAGGTGGCCGATGTCCAAGTGCATAAGGCTTGTAGCCATGGGCTAATTTACAGCTTGCGTCCCTGGTTAGGCTTTTAAAAGGTGTTAACATTAAGGGGGGGGGGGGGGGAGCAACGACACACAGATGCATAAGAAACAAGAGAAGTTAAAACATACTGTACAGTACAAGCCAGTTTAGTGCTCACACTCTTGATTGTCTTTGAGCCATTTTTTCAATCTTGTGGAGAAAAGTGGAACGTCAGTCTGTGATTAAGCTCCAGAGATAAAGAGTTCCAGAGATGTGATGCTTATAGTGTCTGGATACGTAACACAGCTAGTTCCCTTCTTTTTCTGCCTGATGCTAGCAGATCAAGCTGGAAACTGCAGATCCCTAAAGTTGATAAGATTAAAGGTGTAACAGTGATAGGTGGCAGTAGCTCAAAATGGCCGACTTGGGATTTTCCTAATACTGATCTGTGCTTTTTACAAACCAACTATCTCTTTTTTATGTCTGTTAGCAGCTTATATTTCAATACAGAGTCAGTCTTTATAGTTTGGATGGTGGTTTGGGGCGGTTAGCACCTCACAGCCAATGGGCTCTTTGGGAGGAATCCTCTGGGTTCCCTGAAGGGACTCGAGTATTGTACGAAATTCCCTTTTTCATAGATGGCTTTTTATTGGGTTCCAGCAATTCTTTGATTCTTTCGGAGCTGAGAGGAAAGAATGAGTAACCACTTCTGACCTCTCTCTATCCTTTCTATAGATAGTAACACAATCCTATTACAGTTATCCTGAGGTGTCCTAGCAAGGGATGCACACACCTCGCTCAGCTGGACATTAGAGTTTCCCTTTCTACTTTTTTAACAGAGCTTGTTGCCATGCCGTTGGATCTACTGAGGTCTTTTTTATTTCTTTGAGCCGCCCTCTTTTTAGTTGTGATCAGTTGTGTTTAACAGTTCAACAGTTACTGTTCTGCCATGGGAATGAAGCAGTGATTTCAAAAGTGAATAAAGTAGCCATGAAACCCTCTCATTTGAGATGGTTATGATATTTATGACAAACGTATTCTTGAAAGCCTCCTCTGTGTAGTTCTTTGGGGGAAGGGATCCATGACGGGTTTAGCAGTGGGTTTAGTCAACAACTGTTGACTAATTTAGAAAGCTCACATCTCTTTCTCTCACTTTTATTGTTAAGAATGGGAGGGGTTGCTTGTGGTTATGGTTTATCATGACTCAGAGCCATTAAGCTCTCCTTTTATTCATCAGGAATCTGGGGTGAACTTGTTTTATTTAGTGGAATTTGAAAGACAGCTCAAATCCAGCCCCCTTCATGGAGACGAAAATCCTGGCTAAATGCTAACTCCACATCCACAAATGTCAATTTGACTGGTTCATACAACAGCTGACACATTTAAAAATGATGAAAACTCTTGGATAAAACCAGTGAAGTGGGTGGTTAGTCGGATTGATTCTGCACCTCTAGGACATCTGAGGCTGTAGAAACACAGAGACGTGTGTGAAATTAAGCTAACGCAGCTCTGTTCTGTCTGTCTCACAGGTCCTGGCCATGATCTCCATCCTGTTCATCGTCATTTCCACCATCTCACTGTCCCTCAACACTCTGCCAGAGCTCCAGGTCGTGGATGAATTCGGCCAGTTCAACGACAACCCCAACCTGGCCCACGTGGAGGCGGTGTGCATCGCCTGGTTCACCATGGAGTACATCCTGCGCCTTCTGTCCGCCCCCAACAAGTGGAACTTCATCAAAGCGCCCCTGAACATCATCGACCTGCTGGCGATCCTGCCTTACTACGTGACCCTGTGTCTGACCGAGTCCAACAAGAGCGTGATGCAGTTCCAGAACGTGCGCCGCGTGGTGCAGATATTCCGCATCATGAGGATCCTGCGGATCCTGAAACTGGCCAGGCACTCGACCGGACTCCAGTCTCTGGGCTTCACCTTGCGGAGGAGCTACAACGAGCTGGGCCTGCTGATCCTGTTCCTGGCCATGGGCATCATGATCTTCTCCAGCCTGGTGTTCTTCGCCGAGAAGGACGAGGACTCCACCAAGTTCACCAGCATCCCGGCCTCCTTCTGGTGGGCCACCATCACCATGACCACCGTCGGATACGGAGACATTTACCCACAGACCCTGCTGGGGAAGATCGTGGGAGGGCTGTGCTGCATAGCGGGCGTGTTGGTCATCGCCCTGCCCATCCCCATCATCGTCAACAACTTCTCCGAGTTCTACCGAGAACAGAAGAGGCAGGAGAAGGCCATCAAGAGGAGGGAGGCTCTGGAACGAGCCAAGCGGAGCGGAAGCATCGTCTCCATCAACGTCAAGGACGCGTTTGCGCGCAGCATGGAGCTAACGGACGTGCTGGTGGAGAAGAGGGAGGAGAACAAATGCCCCGTGGACAACCACCTGTCCCCCAGCCGCTGGAGCTACCAGAAGCACTACACCAACTCCGAGACGACCAGCTCCGCCCGGCCCCAGCACTACCAGGAGGTGGCCCAGCTGGGCTCCCCGCTGCGCCCCAAAGCGCTCTCCAACCGGGGAACCCCCCAGCACCTGAGCGCCAAGCACCTGGAGGACGCCTACAACAAGACGGCCATGTTGGACCAGGTGGAGATGAGGGCTCTTTCCTCCAAACCGGCCCCTAAAGCCAGTCCTGCTGGAAGGGGGTCCCTCCCCAATCTAACCGAGGACATCCCGACCCAGAGGGGAGAGAGGAGCTCTTTGCTTCCTGGGCTTGAGGGGAGTCAGACGGGTGTGAGGCAGCAGAAGATCCCCCCCCCCTTAGATCTGAGCCAGATCAGCGCGCTGGAGGGGAACCGGGACAGTATCCAGCCAGCCGCCATCATCAAAGAGGGTCTGTACGAGTTCCTGTCCAGCCCCCAGAAGAGCGAAGGCGGAGATCCGCATTCGGTGGAGAACCCGACCTCTGACCCTGTCCTCGGTTCTGAGCAAGATTACAGCAGTTCTGAGAAAATGCGAGCCCTAAAGGTCGACCTAATCGAGTCCCAGGACGACGTCCTTCTGGCCGTGATGACCCCGGTGGCCACCTCCAGCTTTGAGCTCTCCTCCGATGACAAAACCTCCAGGTTCCCCGCGTCTCCCGTGACACAGGAGGCCAAGAGCTCAGCGCCCAGGAGCTTAGAAGGTGAAGGGCAGCTCACCGCGGGGTTAAGCCACCAGGGGAGGAATCACATGGAAAAGTCAGCTGCTGTCGGCTCGCCCCTGTCCTCCAAAACCAGCCCGCTCAACTGCACCCAGGAGCTGGGGCTGGGGGGGGCGGAGCCCGGGGAGGAGGCCGAGAACCAGGAGAACCAGGAGAACCACATCGTCCTGGACGGGAGCCTGACTCCCCCCTGTGAGACCAGCATGTGAGTCCCGGACTCTAACAGACCTGAGGAACATCCTGAACAAACTATACACAACCACCTACCTGGCATGAGACGCACACCAGAACGAGGAGAGGAACCGCCATAGAACAGGAAAGGCCCTTTAGTCCGGGTCTGTTTGAGCCGGCTTTATCTCAGGTGACAGACTTTTACTCTGAAGGCCGGACTGGGGGAAACAAGCCTTGACTGAAAGAGCTTGTGTGATTTAAATTACAAAGAAAGCTTTACACATAACTCAGGTATTATGTGGAAAGCTTTTGTCGGAACTTGCTTGTCTAACTTTTCCCTGCGCTCGCTATCGAGGTCGCAATGGACAAACGTTTCCAGGAAAGTCAAAAGATGGAGGGCATTTGATTTCTTTTTTATAATTGTCGTAGCAGCTTTTAAAGGTAAATAGCACTGTCAAAGTGGACGTAGACACCTGAAAATAATCCTTCTTCTTCTTGTGCTTGAACAATATTTGCTTTGTTTTCTGGGTTTCCAGATTTGGGATTTACTTTCTGTTCAATTGGAGTCTTTTCTTTAACTGTATTCCAGCACTTAGCTGTTAGGGAGAGGGTAGAGACACAAATGCTTTGATGCAGTAGTTTTTATGTCGGGATAACAGAATCCCCCACATGAGGAGCACCTGGAGGAGAAGTCTGGCTGTGTGTGAACCAGGTGTTCTGTCCTGAGACGAAGACAGTCGGAGCTGACGGGACGCCTCTGGTTTGGTCTCTGTGAGACTGTTTTGATCTGTTTTTGTCGCTTTTACTTCCGTTCCGTCAGTGGGGAAAAATGCACAAACCCAGTTGGTTTTGTAGGAACAGGGGGACTTTACAAAGTGGTGCACCTTCCTCCCCATGGGTCTCCTCAGAGGAAGTGGGATGCTCAGAGTCTATCAAAGCCTCTGAGTCTGTCATTAGACAAAGATTCTGTCTTTCTGGAATATCTCAACTGAGTTAGAGTCGACCCAGCTGGTTCTCAGCTGGATTTCGGGGGGTTTCCGTGGTTTCCAGGTGATCTTATCTGTGTTTGACTCACTGGATCTGGAGGCGCTAAGCTAGCCTGCTAGCACTATTCAGTAGGTATGTGATCCTGATCAGCTGGGAAGCTGGATCAAACAAGCAAAAATAACATATAAGTGGGGATGAACCAATAAGCTAATAGGGGGGTAGACGCCCCCCTTCTGTGTTAGACTATGCAAAACGATGCTTTCAGCTGTTAGCTGTTAGCTGTTAGCTGCTGGTCCCTGTTCTTCTGCTCCAGCCGGAGCATGCTCAGATCCTCAGGGTGGAGATTAGAGGCCTGTGGAGCTGGAGGAGAGCGCCCCCTGCAGGCAGACGCCTCCGTAGCTCCTCACTGAGCCAACGACTGTTTTTTAAGATGAGCTGTGCATTCCTGTGTTCATGCTCACAGATACAGGCCCCCACCACCTGTAACCTGCTTCCTAGAACAAAAGATGTCCTGTTTTGGTTGTCAGTTTAAACTTATTTCTTCCATTTTGATAACAGAAACTTTGAATGTGTTCGATATTTTAAAAAGTGTGCCTTTTCATAAATGAGTTTATGAGAAGGTGAAAAAATCCCTCCAAAATATGATATTTTATCTCTTTTTGTTGTTGTTATTCCTATCTTCTCTCTTGTGTAGCGGGTATATTCATAAACAAGGTTTCAGGTTTTGCATCCGTTTGCCATGGTAACCATGATGTCATCTGCCAGCAGGTATCGTTCCTCCCATAGACCAGTCCTAACTTTGTGGTGCCACACTGTCTTTTTATTTCGGGTAATTGTAGAAGGCAGTGGCTTCGTTCAGGTCATAGCAACGTCTTTATATTTTCCTTCAAAAAAACTGAACTCGGGTTCTCGACCAGGTAGAAAACGTGGACTCTGTGGTGTTAAGAAAGCTATTTCTGTGGACTCCAGCCAGGTGACCATCCAGAACTCTGTCATGGAGGACTTCCAGTCTCAGTAGACCACACTCCCAACTGTAAAAGACCTTTATTTACCAGGTTTTGGAGAAGCCGGTGTGTTGGTTCTATCATTGTGTGCTGGAGGTTTTGTCTCTGATGAAAAGCTGTATTTATTGGATGTGTTTTGGTCACAGACCTCCTCTGACGTCCTCCATCCAGGTCTTTGTATGTTTAACGGTAGCTCTAAGACGGGTAGCTGAGTCATTCTATGTAAATCAACATTATAGTGATTACTTTGAAATTTTGCTTCAGTTGTCAAAATGCAAGTCAAATAAATGTGGTCATGTGATTTACTTTGGTTTGCTGTGTTTTTGGAATTTGATCAAAAGAAGTGGATGAGTTTGGTGAATCTTAATGAGTTAAGATTTAAGAACATCACACAATAAATATCACAAAGTGTCACACAGATCCCAACATTTAACACCTCTCTAACAACAGGCTGTGTCCTCATGAAGGAGTCAAACTGGACTCCTCCTCAGGTTCCAGCAGCAAGAAAACATCATCCCCAGAATCCTCTCAGCCAAAGACATCACCAACAATGGAAACATCCTTTTTAACTGTTGTTCTTCTGTAAATAACTCAGAGTAGGTCTGAGCTGCTCTGTTTGGAAAGCTGGGAGATTCCTGTTGCTGGGATATGGAACTATAGAAATAAATAATAACCATATATATATTATATATATGTATATATATATACATAATATATACATATATATATATTTTTTTATTTTTTTTATTTTTTTAAAGTCGAATTCTAATTCAACTAAATTTTATTTATATATATGAATAAAATTGAGTTTAATTGAACTGCACTTGAAAACACAGACATTTAATTTTATAAAAGATGGTGAAAAGAGTTGTTGTTTGCACACTGCATGGATCTGTGCACTTCTGCTACCCAGAGAAATGAAATAATAAGTTAATATACCAGTTAGTGGATCTATCTATCTATCTATCTATCTATCTATCTATCTATCTATCTATCTATCTGTATATCTATCTATCTGTATATATATCTATATATATATTCTGATGGGATGATGACGGCCTAAGCCCTGCCTAAGCAGCGCGCTGATTGGCTTAGCGGCACCAGGTGGAGCAGATGATGGGGATCAGGGCGCGCGCCCCGCTTCCGGTGGTGACGTCAGAGGCTGGTCCGCGTCTCTGCGGCTGTGGGGGGGGAGCCCGGACCGGACTGGGGGGCTGCATGGCGGCTCACGGTGCTCCGTGCTGAGGACCCTCTTTGTGTTCGGAGGAAAAACAGGTGAGAGTGCACGCGGGCGCGCGCCTCCCCTCGTGCACGCGCGGCGAGGCGGATGGGGGGATGCTCCGTGCGTGTAGAGGGACAGCCCGGGG